CAGGCAGACTCTTTACCAGCTGAGCCACCAGGGACGCCCGTTAGAGACTAAAACAATGTATTAATATGAAAAGTACCTTCTGATAACCAAAGACCAGTTCTTCTATGTGTGCAAATTGCTATTTGAATCTCAGTTAGAATCCATATGTGAGCTAACCAGATTCTCATTATAGGCTTCTAGTACTGAAAAGCATTTCTCTATCCAATCTGTTCAGGCAAGTGGTCAATATTATAAAGCACACCTCAGTTCTGTCTCTCATCTTTATTTAAAGTACAGTCATCTGGCAGTTTCAACATTTCAGAACATATTTCGCAAGGAAAGGAGAATCACTGGCCTCTATGCAGTAACAGTTCAGTTCAGTTCAGTCACTCAGTCGTGTCCAACTCGTTGCGACCCCATGAATCGCAGCACGCCAGGCCTCCCTGTCCATCACGAACTGCCGGAGTTTACTCAAACTCATGCCCATCGAGTCGGTGATGCCATCCAGCCATCTCGTCCTCTGTCGTCCCCTTCTCCTCCTGCCCCCAATCCCTCACAGCATCAGGATCTTTTCCAATGAGTCAACTCTTCGCATGAGGTGGCCAAAGTATTAGAGTCTCAGATTCAACATCAGTCCTTCCAATGAACACCCAGGATTGCTCTCCTTTAGGATGGACTAGTTGGATCTCCTTGCAGTCCAAGGGACTCTCAAGAGTCTTCTCCAACACCACAGTTCAAAAGCATCAACTTTCGGTGCTCAGCTTTCTTCACAGTCCAACTCTCACATCCATACATGACCACTGGAAAAACCATAGCCTTGACTAGACAGACAAGAGCACTGTAAATCCATGCACTCATGTGTGGGTACTCCTTAGCAATTACTTTGACCTTAGCCTTAACTCACTCCTCTCCAAAACTCTCTCTGCCTAGAGCTTTTTTTTTTTCCTTTCAGAACTCAAATGTTCTTTTTTTTTAATTTTTTGTTTCAGAACTTAAATGTTTCTCTGACTCACAGGGGCAAAATTAGTTGCTCCCTCCTCTGCTTTGCCATTTCATTTCTATTATACCTCTCCTCTTCATTATGTATTTCTCTTTAATTATGCTAAAGTGTAAGAATTAATGAGCAGAGGCAAAAATGGTTTTATCTTTATATTTTCCAACAAAATATTTTTTATCTCATAGTAGAAATTCAATAATAGCTGGTTAAATATCTAATGCAAAAAAATGAATTTAAAAATATCACTGTTTTCACTTTTAGATCATTGACCCCTTCCTTTCAGCTGTACTATAAGGATTTTACAACCAGACCAGAGATAAAATATATGAAACATTAGAGAAGAGAAGGGGACAAGGGACTTATAAGTCAAGGACATAGTGATGATGATGATGATGATGATGATGATGATGATAAATAGGCAGTAATCATGAATGTCAGACACAAAAATTTTAAAAAACAAAACTGAATAAAAAATAAGTTATAGGTTACTATGAAAGATTATGATCACTGAAGTTAAAAATTACTAGCCAGAGTCTTCAAGAATATTAATATAGATAAGTGAGAAATAAAGGAAAAAAAGACATTACACCACTTATTTTATCACTGCTATGTTTAACAATAGGATGAAGCACTGAAAAATCATTACTTGAACACTAGGTGTTGGAATTTTTCAGTGAGAAATCTGACAAAATAAGTGTGATATCAGAAAACTAAATTTATTATTAAAATGTCTGAATCATTTGGAAGAAAGCATTGTCTTTTTGCCAAAGACTAGTTCTCTAAGTAGATATATTTTTTTTCAATTTTTCTTTTTAATGAAATAACAAAATTGTAAAAGTAATATTGTCCCTGGAATTGTCCTGCCCCGACTAAAGAATAGTTAGTGTCCTTGTTTAAATGCTTCTGTGACTATTTGTTGTGCTGCTCTGTTCATTTTTGTAGGTAACAGATCAGGGAGCTCTTTAGATAATATTCAAAGAATGAGAAACAAAAGTCTGATGGAATATGCTGACTAAAAGAGCATCTTGAAACAACCAACTGACCACTGAGTTGTTAGTTAGAAATGGAAAGCAGATCACTAACTATAAACACAGAAAGGCTTCTCAGGATTGGTAGAACAAGGTAACAAATGATAATCTTACCTCTCCACTTGTGGCATTCTTCAAGTTTTTGAAAACCAAGAGAAGTACTGAAGAGATGAAGATGGTATTGCAATGCAACCTGGAGAATATTGACACATCAGCCCCTCCCTGTTCCAGAATAGAAGCCCACAGTGCAATGTACACTCTGTCATGGAACCAAGAAAGTCTACAATGGAAATAACACAGCAGAACTCTAACTAAAAATAAATATTTTGTGAGATTTTAATAATACTCTGTAATTCAGTGGTATATTGATCCTTAATAGTTTCTGTGGTTCCAACTTCATCCTATAATTACAAAATGGAAAGACAAAACTCCTTTTACCATTTGCCCTCATAACCCCTGGTTGCCATTTTCCTCAACATCTAATTATTTTATAGTTAATCAAGGAGTTCTTTCTAAAATTTTTGCTTGTGACTCAATGTTTGAACTCATACTTCTGATTGTATCATTTAATCTGAAAAAAGGAAAAGCTTAATTATGCTCTACAAGCAGACTTAAAATTATTTTTATTTAATTGGCAACTGAACAAAATCTTTTTCTTTGAGAAAGAAATGAAAGAAAATTGACTTGAATTTTCACTATCATGGGAAGTTGAGTGTACATAAAATATATTTTAAAAATGAAAGAATTACTAAGTATCAATTGTTATAAATCTGCTGATGAATGAGATATTGCACTGTTTTTTTAATTAATAATTTAAATAAACCATATTAGAAGCACATATGATTTGCTTTTGCAAATTACCTTTGCAAAGAAGGTATTCAGATTTTTTTCCTAAATTAATAATAAGATAAATGTCTTTGTATGCCAGGTATGTGTGTATATGTGTGTGACTCAGTTGTGTTCAACTTTTTGAAACCCCTTGGACTGTAGCCTTCTGGGGTCCTCTGTCCATGGAACTCTCCAGGCAAGAATACTGGAGTGGGTAGCCATTGCCTTCTTCAGGGGATCTTCACAATCCAGGGATCAAACTCGGGTCTTCTGCATTGCAGGCAGATTCTTTACCATCTGAGCTATCTGGGAAGCTCATATACCAGTTAGTACATTTTAGGTAATACAGTAAGGTCCCAGTCTACAGTAGTAAACACAAATTTGTAAAAAAAAAAAAAAAAAAAAAAACAAAATGACCTCCCGCACCTAACCTAACTACATGTTTAATTAATTAAATGCAATTTTCTACTGTTAAATATTAATAATACAGTTTTCTCAAACACTATGTTTCCTCAGATTTACATAACAACATACCCTACAATAAAGCCATAAAAATTTGGGTAAAGTGATAGAGCGAGAAATGAAACTTCATGTTGTTGATAGGATGTAAAATGAGAGGAGTTAAGTATCATTGACATTTAGTTTTCTCCAGGCTTCTCACTTATCTTTATAAATAAATTAAGCACTTTCAATTCTCAAAACTTTTGTGTCAACAATTCCTTTATTCAAAGTTTCTCATCAAGTATATTCATAACATATTGTCCTTGGGGGTCAACCAAAAATTTAACCTAGTTTAAATCAGAATATTTTAAATGATATTAATTTTCCTTTATTGAGTAAAAGTATGAGAATCATAACAGTCAAATGATGAGATTTAATGCAACATGAGTTTTAAAAATTACTCCAACATTTATGATTTCTCCCTTGATGTGGTTCTTCTTGCAGAAAATAGGAAGGTAAAGAAAGTAGAAGTTTGTACAGTCCTACTTATCTTTAACTTACCACTTCTCGGTTACCTGCTCATTTCCCACCCCACTTCTGGACTGTGTCTGTTATTCCTTTACTAATGAGACAATCTTCATCATCTCTTGGAAGATTGTGCCTTTAATAGCTTGTGCTGTAAAATCTACATACCCCAGCTCTCAAAAGCCTAAGAACACCTTGAGTACAATCCTCGGCTTATTAACATATTTGTATTCTCACAACTAATATGGTTTAAAGCATAATTTATAGTAGGAACCCTAATTTTTTTTCAATGAATAACTTTTTGAATCAATTAAACAACATGATTAATATCTTATCTTTCCTGGATAAAACAGTGATTTTAAAATTTCAATTACTCGGGATGACTATTTATTTATAAAATTAAAGAAAAGAGTTACATGCATCACAGAAGAACATCAGAAAAAAGTTTTGCAGCAAGTATTAGACTCAGTTTCTCCTAGTTAAATTACCTAAATATGAATCCCTTACTATTTATCTACAGTCTGCATTTTCTCTAGTAATCAAACAATAAGAGATAGTTGATTATTAGCTGAAGTGTAGGACAGAGGTGTAGAGCAGAAGACATTATTCAGTTTGATAGCATACATATATACCAACAAAAAGCAAAGGACTTCCATGTTGATACTAAGAAGAGAATTTTTAAAAAGATAAATTATATAATATTTTAAAATTCTCTGCTAACATAGAGTGAATCTAAAATTCTACAAAATGATCTATAACTATTAATACTACACATCTCATCCTATATTCTACATTAAACATCAGTAAGGGCTTCCCTGGTGGCTCAGAGGGTAAAGAATCTGCCGGCAATGCAGGAGGCCCAGGCTCAATCACTGGGTCGGGAAGATCCCTTGGAGAATGGAATGACTACCCACTCCAGTATTCCTGGCTAGAGCATTCCATGGATAGAGGAGCCTGTGGGTTATAGTTCGCAAAGAGTTGGATAGAACTGAGCAACTAACACTTTGATTTTACAAAGTTATAACATCAGCTGTTTAAAACAAAGCAGAAATTAGAATAAATTCTCTACCTATAGTTCAAAATATATAACTGGACTTATATTTTTAAAATGAGAAATAATGAGAGAGAAAATAAATGTCAGCTCACGTGTTTATGTGGCATAGGTGGGATGGTTATACATTTCACTCTTGGGTTCATTTCAGATATGTGAACAACGTCCATTGATATATATGATGAATAGCAGCTGATGGCTGTGACCTGTTAAGACAGGCTAATGGCATCTTAGTTGTGGTGACTTGACTAGCTGGCCCCCTACTACATTTGCAGATTTGTGATCATCTTCTGGTAAGTGTAACATTTCAAACCTTTTTATAGAAAATAAATCCTCAGATGAGTCTTTCAGGGATACACAGACTACCTTTGTAATTAGCTGAAAAGAGGCATACGTAAGGGGTTGAAGGAAGAGAAGTCTACAGAGTTGCTTCTTATTTTATCTGTAGGAAAAGAAATGATTATTAATTTCCATGTGAAATATATAATATACTCTAAAGACATCACTTTAAACCATCATTAATGTGCTGAATTTCCTCATTTTGAAATGTGAGGATCATTATAACAAATATAGTAAATTTCATAAAAATGTCTTAAATATAGGGGATTCATTACCTTAAATTATCTACAGGCTGGATATTGATGTCTCAGTGAATGAAGTGATGGAGTCAAAGCAAAGACAGTGCCCAGTTGTGGATGTGACTGGTAATGGATGTAAAGTCCAATGCTGTAAAGATCAATATTGCATAGGAACCTGGTTCAGTTGAGTTCAGTTCAGTCACTCAGTCATGTCCAACTCGTTGCGACCCCATGAACCGCAGCACGCCAAGCCTCCCTGTCCATCACCAACTCCCGGAGTCCACCCAAACCCACGTCCATTTGAGTCGGTGATACCATCCAACCATCTCATCCTCTGTCATCCCCTTCTCCTCCTGCCCCCAATCTTTCCCAGCAACAGGGTCTTTTCAAATGAGTCAGCTCTTCACATCAGGAGGCCAAAGTATTGGAGTTTCAGCTTCAACATTAGTCCCTCCAATGAACACCCAGACTGATCTCCTTTAGGATGGACTTGTTGGATCTCCTTGCAGTCCAAGGGACTCTCAAGAGTCTTCTCCAACACCACAGTTCAAAAGCATCAATTCTTCGGTGCTCAGCTTTCTTTATAATCCAACTCTCACATCCATACATGACCA